AGAGGAAGAATCTCATTAATTCCTCCCAGAAATGGTGTTCGTGCCAGGAAACTGCAGTTTTCAGGATGAGAGTCTCTGGTCAGCCAAAAGGCCAAGCCTCTGCCATTGGGGCTGGTGTGGAAGGGGAATGATTTAGATAAATTCTGCCAAGTTATTTTATTCTTCATTTGGAGGATTATTAAAAACCGCCCCCCTCCTTGCAATTTAGCCCCACTCTACTGCTGATAAGAGTTGGCAATTTGTTTTTATTTATTTCCAGAGATGGGTCAGGAATGGGCACGAGCCCTGGGCATCCAAGCCCCAAGACCCTGCAATTTAAGGGTGCTTTCCTCCGTCCCACTAAACAACCCCCCAAATTACAGCGGCTGCAGCCCCCCGTGCCTCTTAAGGATGCCGGCAGCGGGCTGAGAATCGAAAGGCCGTCAGCAAAGAGAAACCTTCCCCTCCATAAACACCGCAGACAAATTAAAAATGGTAAAAGGGAAATCAAGACCTTTAAAGTTCAAACACTTTTCGGTGCCTTTTAAAGTTTTTTCGCTCTAGGCCCTTGCAGAGAGCACAATCTTTGGAGACCTTGGGATTCTCTTTAATCACCCAGCCAGGCTGCAGTGGTCTGAAATGATTACACATTTACATAGTAATAACCCCAACACTCCCCACATTATTTCATGGCTAGCATATTTCCACTCGGCGAGTGATCCATGTGTTTTAAATTATAACCTGTACATAGGAAATTAGTTACTAAGTACGATATTCACGGGCTCGTCTGACACTTCTAATTAAGGTGATTTACACAGAATTATCCTACGAAATAAAAAAATGGTGTTTTGCTAGCTAATAAAATATAATTACTACCCGCTTTTATAAGTTACAGTTAGTTTTAATCTATTTGGGGAATTGTTTATCTAGTTCATTACAGCAAAACAACTTCTTTCCCTTTTAGGCAACACCCCCAAACTACCAAAGAAGACAAGAACCGCCCTGGAAAGACCCAACAATTTGGGCAGCCGCCTCCTCTCTCTCCCGATAGGTTTGCGTTTCCAAGCGATATGAGGCTGCTTCCTCGCTAGTTCCCCTTCTCAGGGCTGTGACGCCGGTCCTGGCCGTGCATTCTTGCATCCCCACGGGTTCGGGTGCCCTTGTGCCTCTGCAGGGACAAAATAAGGTCCCTGCTCTGGTGCTGCTGCCCAGTCCTGCGGCTGTGTCACCCATTAACCTTAACAGGAGCTGCACGGCCAGGTCCCCACGTGCCTTGGGGTGCTCACTGGGGACCCATCACTTCTCTATATTAGAGCATATCAGCTTTCAGAGGAACATTTGCTTTCAGCAAGGCCCTCAGCAATGAAAGCAAGACTCAGGCTACAAGACAGACACGCAGATGTCTTTTCATGCTGGGCAGGGATTTGGTTAGGAGCATCCCCAGAAGCAACGGGGAATCCCCCGGCATCCCCCTGAGCGAGCCCCAAGGGGCTGTTCAGACCCAACACTCCAGTCCTGATGTCCCAAAGGGCAAAGAGCAGCTCAGCACGCTGAATATGTGCCCTCCTCACCCACCGTCTTGGGGTTACTCTACTGCTGCCGTGGTTGCCATTACATACAATGACCTTCAGGTTTATTTAAGTATTTTTTGTTATGGTCCTGCCTTTTGAGGTATGCTTGCCATAGAAAAAAAAAAAAAAGCGCAGCAATATGCAGGGAATAGTCCCTTATCATCCCCATGAATGGAATCTGCTGCTTCCCACCATGGAAAACCCAGAGCATGAGCTGAAGGTTAAGTGATCTGACTGTGTTTTACCATGAGCAAGCTGGTGCCTTTCCTTTAAGCCTTTGCTCTCACAAGCTGTTGTAGGAATCTCAGCTTTCCTCTAAAAGAAAAGAGAAGCTTTCTGGGAGCCTAGACAAGCAGAAGCCCTGCTCCCCACAGGAGATGGCCAGTCAGCTGCCGGGTAGAGGACCACAACCCAGGGTGTGCTTTTGGTGCCCGGAGCCCACCAGATGCAGGCAGGGCTCTCCCTGACCCCTCAGCCCTGGCAGCTGCCCCAGGGAAGCAGAGCAGGAGCCCTCCTCCTCCGTGCCCACCATGGCACAGGCGCTGACCATGCTGGCGCCTGGGCATCACCACAGCATGCCAGAGCAAGGGTTGGGAAGCTCTGCCGCTACAGCTTGAGTGTTTTCCAGCATAAGGAGACCAAGAAAGAGAGATGAGCTCAGAGAGGAAATTTGGGCACAGAGTGGTGCTGGGATTTGCCTGAAGTCTCAGTGCAGCAACAGTAGGGCCAGAAACAGCCCCGACGCCGTGCTTCAGCCCACCACAGCCACCGGACCTTGCAGCCGCTTGGGCTCCCCAAGCACGTCCAAAGGAGACCTCTGCAGAGCCCCCACCCAGGACAAGGCAGGGCTTATGATAAGCATACATCAAGGAAAGGCTGAGCTCAGTATGTGGCATGGCAGCCACCCCCCAGCAGCACTCCTCACTCGTAATTAATAACAACTGCAAGAGAAGTTCCTTGAGCTTGGGCAGCTACAGTTGTTTGTGCTCATCCCTTAATGACATTGCAGCCAGAAGAGGTTTAAAGAGGTGGTAAGAGGGCTACTTCTATGCTGTCCTCCAGCTCTGCAACTCTTCCGCACAACAACTCTCAGCAGCCCTCTGGATTCGATGAGCACCAGCCAGGGCACATGCAGCTCCTGCGTGAGATCCCACAAAGCCAAAAGGTTTCTACCAGCCACGGCCAACTGATGTATTTCTTAAAAAAAAAAAAAAAAAGTAAATAAAAATTCCGGTGGAAACACTTTATTTTTAGCTGCAGGACTCGTGGCTCAAACACACAGCCTCGGGACGGGAGCCCCGGCAGCAGAGCAAGCTG